CGAAGCGCCCCGGAGTAGTCCGAATCATTATTGAACTATTTCGGAACCACACCTGAATCATTCCCGAATGATCCGATCTGGGAGGCCTGAAACCCTTGGCGCGGGAACCCGCGGGGGGCCTTGCGCCCCGCCAGCGCGCCCTGTTTGGGGCGGCGCTCCACGGGGCTGGCCCCCCGAATACACGGCGAAGAGGTTTGCGATTCTATTCCAGACTGATCCCGCGGCAATTTTAGAAAATGGCGCCGGTGCACCGGCGCGCCGCCTGTTCGCGCGCGACGGCGTTCAGTGGCCGATGCGGTCGCCGCCGCGATCCACCCGTTTTTTTCGCGCGCTGTCTGAAAGCGTGGCGCGGTCTTTCCACGTCCAAGGTGTCGTTTATGTCCTGGGCCGCGCCATTCAAGCGCGCGGCGAATTGTTCCGGCGCTTCTTCCCAAGACTTCATCATCCTGTCCGCGTTCTTTCAGTGGTGGGTCCACGACGCTGCATTCTCGCGAAGTGGCGCCTCCTGAGGATTGCCGGGCTGCTTCCCGGCGTCGTCTATGCAATCGGTCTCCAAGTTGTACTCGGCCAGTGCCGCCTTGAATCCGCCCGCGACCCCGCCGGAGTTCGTCGCCCGGAAGCCAGGGCCTCTGTCCGCGAGGACCAGTGGGGCCCGCCGCCTGTTCTTGCCTCGGAGGCCGCGACGTCGCCGAGCGCGAGTTGCTGAAGGCCGCGGGGGGGGGGGGGGGTCTTCCGCGCGCCCTCGGCGGATGTCTGTTTGAAAAAAGAAACGCGCAGTTAAACCGTCAAACGGGCGCGACAGCGCGCGGGCGGTCGCGCATTTTCTGGGGCGGCGACGCCGGCGAGAGCGACGCGGCCAGAATTTCGCGAGCGGGGCGGCGACTCAAATCCAAATAATAGGAACTTGAGCCTGTCTGCAAGGGCTCGTAACTGCGGGTTCCGCATTCAGGCCCTTATTTGTGATTTCCCAATCTGGATTCTTTGCTAAGGGATCCTTACCACGGGTACCCTGCGGAGGAACCCCCAAAAACGAGCGCTTCTAAGGAACCCAAAGTAAGAATTATCCTAGGGGCCCTCGCTCTGGACTCATTACAGCGGCCCCCCTGCGAAGGATTCCCCGTTCAGGACTCTTCATTATGAGCCCCATAGCAAGGATTCCCTTTCAAGGTGTCTTTACTGAGGAGACGCAATTCAGTAATCTTTTTCATGGGTTCCCTTGTCCGAATTCGTCATTATGGATCCGTTTTCTTTTTCAGGGCGTTCCACAGAGGATTGCGCGCGAATTCTCAGATTGTTGATTCCCGTCCACGGATGCCGCGCGAAGGGTCCCCCAAGTTAGGGAACTTTACTACGGGGTTCTCAATATGAGGCCCCTGTATTCATGAGTCATTAATATTGAGAATTATTTCCAGATAATTATTTCTAGAGGGTTCCGAAGACGGATTGACTGTCAAGGGGTATTGGGCCAGGATTCGATCGCAAGGAAATCATGGCACGTTCCTTACTCCCGATTTCTGCGCGAGGATCCCCAGCCAAAGGGCCCCGAATTAGGATTCCGTACGAAGGGGCCCATCACCAAAAAGTCTTCGTTCTGGATGTTTGTTGGGAGTTCTTCTTGCGGAACCGCTGCGAAAGAAACTTGCGCCCAGGATTCCCACGCCAATGCTTTTTCTTGTTTTGGTCAGTTCTCTTTAGTAATGACCAATAAGGAATTCTTCCATATTTCGGGTTCTTTACGATGGGCTCGCACGACAAACCCGCCCTCAAGGAATCTGTGACAAGGGTTCCTCGGCAAAGATTCCAGGCTCAGGGTTCCATTCGGAGGCCCCTTGTAAAAGGATGCGCAAATGCGGGCTCATTGCAAAACAGTTTCCTTGGCAATTCCTTGCGTTCATTTTTTCCCATTGAGGATCCACTGAAAGATCCTCGGTATAGGCTTCTCGTTCAAGGATTACTTCGTACGCGCTCCCTCGGATTAAACCTTTATTAACTAAGGCCCCCCATTAGGGAGTCCGAATGGATCCCATATGGGGCATTGCTCATTCAGTATGACTATGATTTTTTCCCTTGGGGATTCCTTATTAAAGGAGTGTTCACGAAGGGTTTCCCGCCCAAGGATCCCGACGAAGGAGTCCTTATTCCGGAGGCACTAGTAGGGGGTCTGGAGTAAGGGCCCCGTAGCCAGGATTCGTTGATCAGGATCGCTAACTAAGGACTCCTTATTGTGAAGGTCCCACCACGGATACCGCATGAATGAGAGCCGAGCAAGGAAACGCCGCAAGTTGGCTCCGTAACAGAGGGTGTTTGATTAACGTTCCTTCTTGAGGGGTTCCTATTAATGACTCTTGGTGAATGGTTCTTTAATTTGGAGCTACCATCAAGGATCCCCGAGCAAGGAGTCCCTTGTAACGACGCCTGCTGAGGTGTTCCCTGCCCAGGAACCCTTAACAAGGAATCGTGACGAACGGCTCCTGATTGGGGATTATGTGCCAAGGGTTCCTTTGCACGGATTGCTTAGTTAATTATTGTTCCAAGGATTCCCCAGTAAACTCTCCTGATTAACAGCTCCGTATGAATCAATTTCGAGCAAGGAGTTTCCATCCAGGAAACATTTCCGATTAAGGAGTTGTTATCAAGGAAGCGTTTGTACGGAACTCTTACTGGGGATTCTCTTGTCCGGATTTCTTAGTACGGGTTCTTCATTTGGGATCCCTAGCGAAGCATCGTGCTGGCCTCCAACCAGTGCCGCCGATCCGGGGCGTTCCGGATAATGATGGTGATGTTGATATTGATGTTGTTGTTGTTGTTGATGATGATGATGATGATGATGATGATGATGATGATACTGATGTTTATGATGGTGATGTTTATCATGGTAATGGCCATGGTGAAGATCATGAAGATGGTGATGGCGACGACGATAAGCAGGATTGTGATGTTGGTGATGATGATGGTGGTTGTGATGATGATAGCGGTGTGCCCACAATGATGTTGATAATGATGACGTTGGTGTTAATGTTGATGATGCGAATTCTTAGGGTACGGAGGGTGGTGAAGTTGGTGAGGACGGCGATGGTGATGGTGAGCTCCAGAGGGCGCGCGGGGAGCCCCAAGAGATTTGAGAGCTTGGGGTCCGGGCCCATTAAGAATCCTCTGGCTTGAGGACTGAGGCTCAGGGGATTGAGCAAAGGACCTGGGGAAGCCTCTTGGGGGTCGTTTCGGGGCCTCCTCGAGGCCTTCTGGAGCCTCCTGGGGGCTTCTTGGGGGCCTGTTGGGGCTTTTTGGGGGCTTCTTGGGGCCTCTTGAGAACCTCGTGAGGGGAAAGGCTGGGATTTTCGGTTCGGGCTCCCCCTCTTGGGCCTCTCCTGGGGCCGTCTTGGAGCCCTCTTGTGCCTTGGGCGTTTTTCGGTCCGTCTTGGCGCCCTCTTGGGCCGTTTTGGGGTCGTCGTGAGAGCCGCTTGAGCCGTCTTGACGCGGTCTCGGGGGCCTCTGGGACCGTCGGCAACGTCGTGAAGGCCGAAATGTCGTATAAGGTGAATCTTTACGTTCTCCCATAGGAATTGGACGATTTGGACCTCGTGGGTCTCTCTTCGCAGGTGTTTGGGTACCTATTGGGGCGTTTTGGAGGCGTCTTGCGAGCACGACATGCGTCGGGAATGGCGTTTGGAATGGCGTCGGCCCCCTCCCCCTCCATGGTCAGAGCGTCGGAACGGTCGGGAATGGCGTTCCCCCCCGCCCCCCCAGCGTGGGCCCCCGTCAGGAAAAGCGTTGGGAATGGCGTCGCCCCCCCCCGTCAATGGCTTGGGCCCCCCCCGCCCCCGAGCACTACATGCGTCGGGAATGGCGTCGGGAATGGCGCCTCCCCCCTCCCCCCCCCGAGCAGAGCGAAGCTTGAGCGAGCTCAAGTCCACGCTCTCAGAAACTCACACGCCGGATCGGCGGATTTCGTATCCCTGATTTGTTCCGAAGGATCATTACCACGGGCATGTGATGAGGGATTTCTCATTCATGCCTTTATCTCCAGGACGATGTCATTAAGCATCCCTCCCTTTGATACGGGTTCGCTATGAAGGGTTCTTTGGCAAAGGGTTCCCTTGTAAGGAAGCCTCGCTAAGGGTTTCCCCGTAAGGATTCCTTCTGTGAGGGGCCCTTTTTCGGGAGAATTCCTGATAACGGGTTCCTCAATACAGGGTTCCGCATTCGAGATTGAGACCATAACAAGGGATCCCTACGAGGGGTCGTTTTTTAATCGGATTTCCTGAATGAGGTGTTCTGATTCCCTACTATGGGTTCCCTAGTAAGGATTCCTTATTCGGATTCATGTCGAAGAATTTCCAGGTAAGAATTCCTTACTAGGAACTCCTTACTGAGGATTCCCTACTACGGAGTCCTTATTTTTACAGAGCGCTAGTACGGAACCCTTTCCAAGGATCCCGCAGGATCCCGAAGGATTCCTGGGATTCGCAGGGTTTTTTTGGAGTTCGCCAGGGCTCCATGATGATCCCAGGGATTTCTATAGGGGAGCTTCGCTGGTGGGCACGGTCGCCAGCGGGGGGAAGTATCCATGGACACCCCCACGAGATGCTCTGGAGTCCCCGGGAATGCTGCAGCCTGGCTGCTTGGGTCTCCGGGTTTGCCCCGGAGCTTCCGAGTACGCCAAAACCCCAGGAGACGAGGCGAACCCGACAGCCCAAGCCCTTTGGGCTCTCAAGTACGCTTCATCCCTCTTGTTCTGCTGATTCGGTTGCGGAGTCAAACGTGATTTATCGCCACAATTGGAAAGATGCCGTCCTTTCATTACGATCCAACACTTCAGGATCATGTTGAAGTTGAACTAAATTCGTGGCAACGGTCTTGCACGTGACACTTGTTGGTAGTGCCGTCTCGAAGAGAAGGCTTTGTCTAGCGGTTGTAGTGCCTTCGACAGTGCAAGCCTCTTGCGAACTTGCTGCGCATGATGACAGTGACAAAAGGCCGAGTGGCAAGGCACTTTCTTGTGTCTGATGTCTGTTCTCGGGAGGGTACAAATCGTCTGAAACAGCACGCTCGATTTCGCAGTCGCATTCTGCGGATTGCAATGCGCTGCTACTGATTGAAGTGCAGGGCGCGGCCATACTTCCATATTGGTACGTGCATTTGGTCGCTCTGCTTCCAGGCTGCCGTGCTCTGATGGGCGGCAAGTTGAACGAGCAATAACTTTGGCAACCTTGCATTGCTTCACGGGAAACTGTGCAGTTGCTCTTGTTGTGCCGATTTGCTTGCGGAGTACACCGTATTTCGTCGCCACACTCGGTAAGACACCGACCATGAATTACGATCAGGCATTTCAGGATAAGGTTGTGAAGTTGATCCACGTTCGTGACACTGATCTTGCACGTAACAGTTGTTGGTGGTGCCGTCTCGCAGAGAAGGCTATGTCAAACGATTGCAGTACCTTCGACAGTGCACGCCTCTTGCGAACTAGCTGCGCATGATGACAGTGACAAAAGGCCGAGTGGCAAGGCACTGTACTGTGTCTGATGACTGTTCTCGGGAGGGTACATATCGTCTGAGACAGCACGCTCGAGCTAACAGGTGTCGTCTATGGAAGTGGCGGCATGTGTGTTCAGCGACGCGCTGGTGCACCGTTGTCGATTGCAGGACGGCGCGCGGCCGTAGCCTCCTTATACTACACACATGGATCATCTTTCTGTGGCCAGGCTGTCGCACAATGAAAGGCTGCAAGTTCAAAGCAAGGTATGTTACAATCATTGTTTGCAGATTGGCTGACTGATCTGTTGCTCGCTGACTCCGCGTGCACCCTTTCCCGTGCGCGGCCGTGCGCTTGTCTTTGCAAGCGGTCCCGCGGTCGCTGACACTGGTGCCACTGGGACGTTGACGGGGCCGTCGGCCGCCCCATGTGGGGATCCAACTGCATGTGTTTCCTTGCCGCGCCATCCAGTTGGGCCCATGTGGAGAAACGTCATGCGCGCCAGAAGGCGGTGGGGAATTTGTCACCCCCACCCCCCGCGCCCACAATCATAGTATGGAACAGCAAAAACGTTATGCCGGGCAGAGGGCGATAGGAACGACGCACCCCTCCAGTACGGTCGTGCGCTCTCATTGCTCAAACCGAGGGCGATGGAGGGACGGGGGGAGGCGGGACAACCTCTGTGTGTCTTCTGCGTACGACTTATGTGCACTGCACTGCGTCGGCGTCTCTCGAGGCGTCACCGAGCCTGGATGTATGAATGGTCTGGTGCGTATGTTTGGGCCCTCGGAGCCGAACAGCTATGCACAGTGACGCGCTGGAGCGGGGCGTGAAGGGAGTCCGAACAGAGTGCGCTGCATGATCTCCTTTCTTGTATGTCTCGACCGAGAGGTGCAAACGCTGGTCTTCAGCCGCGCTGGGAGCAGTTTGATCGGTCGCCACGGTGCCCTAGGTTCGTCCAGGCGGGGAGGTACCAGTTGACTGGCTGTTCCAGCGCCACAGATTTCGATGACTTCGACGCGTCCTCCCGCCAGGCCGCGTTTTACTGGGCTAGCAATGGGGAGCGGCGCGGCTGCGCGGCGGTCCCATGTGCCGAGGGGTTGACGGGGGGAATTCGCTGACGAGTCCCGGCCGCGGGCCTGGAGATGCAGACCAGAGCCTTCAATTCGTTTGCCTTAGGTCGACGGCGGCGGCGGCGGTGACCAGGTTCCCCAGAGGACTCCCGGTGTCCCCAGAGGCCCAAAAAAGTGCACCAGACACCAAACAAGGGTCGAACCTTGGAGCCTCAAGGATCGAGGAGGAGAAGGAGGAGGAGAAGGGAAATGGCGACCAAGACGACTTCGACGACGACGATGGCGGCGGCGGCGACGATGGCGGCGGCGTCGACAACGTCGACGACGGCGATAGCGACGGCGCCGGCGGCGTCGGCAACGACGACGACAGCGACCAGGATTCCGTCCTATACCGCGAGTGGGCCGGGAGCTACTCGGAGAAAAGATTTTCCAGCTGTAGGCGCGCGCTGGCCGCCTTGGCGAGGCAGGAGGAGCTCGGAGGAGCGGCGAGGAAGAGGAGGAGGGCTAGGCGGCTAGGACGAGGAGGAGGAGGCGGAGAAGGGGGAGCAGGAGGAGGGAGAGAGCGAGGAAGAGATCGAGGAGGGGGAGGAGCGAGGAGGACGAGGAGGACGAGGACGAGGATAGGCACGGGGACGATGAGGACGAGGACGGTGAACTCGCTCTGTTCAGAATGGCCCAGCGAGGGATGAGGAGGAGGAGGAGGAGGAGGAGGAGAGGGACGACGACGACGACGAGGGATCAGGAGGACGAGGGGGACGAGACAGGACGGTGGAGGAGGAAGAGGAGGATGAAGAGGACCGTAGGATGGCCCTGCGAGGAGGAGGAGGAGGAGGTTGACTGCCAATTAGGGGGGAACGTCGCGGAAGTGGCGCGACAGGAGAAAAATGAGTGGGGGGCGATCAGATGAGAAGCAGGAGTAGCCCGCGCGAAAAACACGCATTCACAATTCCTGTTTAGTCGCGATTTGGCCGCAACCGCAAGCATGCAAACACTGTTTGCTCTGGTCTGTCGATAGCTTAGCGATGAGTTCTGCAAAGGACACCCCTGGGCGCGCCATCGCGATTCTGTTGGCATCATCAGCGTACTTCTAGTGGGAGGGATCTACCCTACATGATTCCCAGCTCGCATGAAGAAGGCGGGATTGTGGATCTGCTCTCTGCTGGTTACGCTGCCATTGAAAGGTGAAGCGGGAGAACGTGCCAACGAAAGCCTCAACCGCGAACGAGCTCCCCATGGTGCTGCCAACGAGTAGCTCGCCCTCTAGTGCCTCGGGGCTGATTACCGCATTCCGATATTTCTGTTGGCAAATCACCTGGACGTGTTCAGCGACACTCAATCGAACCGTCTCGTCGGTCTCCTCCCACTCCGAGCTCCCAATAGCATTGGCCATATTCTGAAGGGTAAGGACGTGGGTCCAGTTAGATTGTCTAATGTTTCACCTGCCAATGCCGCGTCCTCCCGCCTCCGATGCTGTAAACATGTGTGGTCAGACGGCGTAGGAGTAAGACGTCATAGCGGCGCATAGTAAGTTTTTGTCAGCAATGACATCACGCGAGCGATCAGACGACCGAGAAAACCCAAGACATTGCATGCCTTCTTGATACCTGTCCGCTCCGTGCGGCGCCAACATTACAGCGTGATGCTAAGTTGGCGTTAATCAAGCCCACAGAAACACACACACACATGAATGAGTCTGTTTTACTTGGCTCGTGTCGGCCCCCACCCCCTGATGACGATCATTCCCACGCATGCGCCGACCAGGCATGAACATCATGCGCCAGAGCTCAAGGGGGCCGGAATACAGGGACCGCTCTACATCGTGCGGCACGACGAATATGGTTAGCAACCCAATCAGAATCCTTCTAAGCGACAAGGATCCCAAAGGAACAGTTCTAGACGCTGTTCTCTCCACTCTGGTCCAATGCTGCTGCACAACCCCCATTCCTCCTGCGGCCCCTCCTGGCTCAATATGTACAGCAATATTTGGGCGGTTGGAGGCGCTCCCTTCACCAGCAGGCCGTCCCGGTTTTTCTTGGTTCAAAGTCCAATGCGTGATCTGGCAACCCGCCGGGTGGAGCGCATCGCCTCAGCTGGTCGACCCTGTTTCCAGTGCCCCGGAGCTTCCGAAACAAGCTCGAACCGATGTGCACGTGCGTGGCCGCGGCGAACAAGTTCTTCCAATTCTTCATCCAGCTCCTGAATCTCATGTGGGTACGCGTTCATCCTCACGCCTCGCAACTCCACTCAAAGACCACGACGCTCAACATAACGTGATCGGTATCCATTCATCGTGTTCCACACTTGCTCCGAAAAAAACTGTTGGCCTGAAAGATTAAGATTATGTTCGAAAGTTTCGAAGATCTCGTCGGGGAACCCGTTATCGGAGACTGAGGAGGACAAGGAAGAAGAGGAGGAGGAGGAGGAGGGAGAGGAGGCGGCGGAAGAGATGGAAATCGGCCCGCGCTCCCAGCGCTCCTGAGCCCTCTCGAACCCCTGCCGACTCCAGATCCCATTGCTGGCGGCAGGAGAACCAAATGCCCGCAGGGGCAGAAGGAGAACCAGGATCTGGAGGAGCGAGGAGGAGGATTCGTGCGTCTGGCGTCCGTCGTTTGTTCGTCAGTCGGTCGTGCTTTTCGCAGATATCTGCCGCTGGGCTCCTCTTTCGCTGGTAAGAAGTGTTGCAGAATTCCGTTTCGGACGATGCTTTGTCCTCGGATCGCTCTGTGGACCCTAACGACCATGAGCCCCCGCTCCCCTCTACCCCGTGGTCATGCCCCTAGTGTGCTGACAGGAGGGAGAGGGTGCGAGAACTGAAGAGTAACAAGCGACTAGGAGGGAGGAGGATAGGGCCGTGCGCGGGAACGGCCACGAACACCTCCTCATCCTCCTCCGCCCTGCCTCCTACTCGTCTTGCTGCTGCTGATTACCGAACGTTGACTCACCCGCATCCTGTTTCTCGTCACGTCTTCATCCTCCTTTTCTTCGACATGCTCCCGGGCGCTCCCGTGGCGTCAGACAGCAGGCCAAAACAAAAAGACGCGGGACCAGGAACGGCGAGAGGGAGTTGCTCACCCGCGGGCTTGGGGCGCATCGGAGTTGGAGCCGATGCCCCGAAGATCTCGGTCAGGTGTTATGCACTCTCTTCGGGGCCGCGGAGGTCGATGGGTTCCGACCTGCGCTCCTCGCAGGGCGACCGACGCAGTGGTCGCCCCCGTGGCCTCGCCAGGTCGCGTCGGATCTTGACATTGCCAGCCGGCGTCTGCCTGGCGAGGGCATGCGTCGCGCTTCCGAGAACCGCCACTTGCTGGTTGATCAGGGCGCGTCGGAAGAGTTTGAGCTGAGGAAGTCCCGGTGGTCCCAAAGCCCGTCGAAAGGGTGAATGTAAGTGTAACTGTAAGGGTAAAGGTAAGTGTAAGTGTAAGTGTAAGTGTAAGTGTAAGTGTAAGTGTAAGGGTAAGGGTAAGGGTAAGGGTAAGGGTAAGGGTAAGGGTAAGGGTAAGGGTAAGGGTAAGTGTAAGTGTAAGTGTAAGTGTAAGTTTGTGCGTGCGTATGTGTGGGTGTGTGTGTGGGTGTGTGTGTGTGTGTGTGGGTGTGCGTGTGTGTGTGTGTTCGTGTGTGTGCGTGCGTGTGTGTGTGTGTGTTTGTGTGTGTTTGTGTGTGTGCGTGCGTGTGTGTGTGTGGGGGCTTGAGCAGATTCGGCATCGTCGCCATCTTCGGAGTCTCGCGCGTCTATTGACCACCGCCAACATCGGCGACCACTGCCACCATGCTCTTCTATACGCAGATCACTGCTGCCAGGCGTCTGGCGAGTTCTTTGATTCGAGGGCACGGCGCGACGTGCGGTCCGCATTCGTTGGCCGCGCTGCAGTCTCCATCTTCGCGCAACTGCCCCTTCTGCGATTGCGAGGGGCCCGGCGCCATCGCACTCTGTCGCCATTTGATCGAGCGCCTTAGGCCTCTCCCGCCGCGTCGACCTAGGCCGCCGCCCAATGTTAGCGATGGAGGCCATTTCGGTCGCAGCGTCTCCGCCCCGTCGCAAGGGGCCGGCGGTGGACGGGGCCGCTCCCGCGGACGCGCCCAGGGACCATGAGTCCAAGAAAGAGGCTGCGGCAAGGGCGGCGGCGGCAAGACGACGATCATCATCGCCCGCGTGGCCCTCGCCAACTCGAGGGAGATCGAAGAGGTCCTCGCGGTCGTGTTCCACCGGTTCGTCATCGAGGTCGGGCAGGGGTTCGCGGCCGCGGCGGCGGCCGCGGGCCAGGCCGGCAACGGGGGCCCAAGCAGCTTGGCACCGGGAAGGACGATGGCGAGACCGTCGACCACCGTCAATCACCATCTCTACATCCTGATCGCTGCGAGCCGTTGCGGGGCGACGAAGACCGTTCCCGAGTGCCAGGGAGGAAGGGGGAAGGAGCTAATTTTCTCGAGGCAGCGCATGCGCGACTCGCGGCAAAGTCGACTGCGTTGCGCACGCAGGCGAAGAAGGAGGGAGAGAGCCAGGAAAGGACGGTCGCCCTGAAGTGCGACAGCACGTTCTCGCTGGGGGCGGCCATGCGGCCGTTGCTCGAGAAGTTGACCGCCTCGGAGGGCGGGCGTCCACTCCGGGGGGCGGCGCCGAGGGGCCCGCTGGAGCGGGGTTTTCCGAGGTCCGCAGTGCAGGGCCGAGCAGCGGCAGCAGCGATCAGAGGCATCGGCAGACGTAACCGAGGGGGAGGGTGGCAGCATTAATTTGTCGGGGCATTGTCCCAGCAAGCGCGCTTGAGAGTCCAAGCGAGATGCGGTCTTCATGCCATGCTAGTTCGTCGTCGGTTCCCACCGCGCCTGTGTCTGAGCTTTTTCGCAGCCTGGGCAGAGACCGAGGGAGTGGACGGAACGGGGGGTCTGGTCCTCGCGGGGGCCATCGTGGGAAGGTGGGGCGAGTCTCTCTCTCGTGCTTCCATTACCGCCACCCCCATAAAAGAAATCCGCCCCCGACCACGACATGGGCGACGTCGTCCTGGCCGTCGCGGCCCCTGCTGTGCTCGACGCCGCTGTAGCGGCTCGCGGCGCGGCGTGCGCGGGCGGCGCGGCTTCTTGGGCGGCTTCTGGCACTGCTGGCGCGGGCCTTATCCTCGCGCAGGCGGCGGCGGCCGCCGATGAGGTGGACGACCTGGAGAGCGGTTCATGGGCGGACACCGCGCGCCAGGGACGGCGCCGACGGCGGGCGCCCGGCGTGGCGGAGCCAGCTCGTGCTAGCGGAATTGCGGAAGGTTCTGAGGAGGTGGCACTCCCCATTCGTGAGTCGTTTGAAGCAGGGCTCGGCGGCGAGGGGGGGAGTGCCGAGGCGGCGGGGACGAGTGTCGATGCTCGCTTGGCGGCCAGGGAACTCTTCGAGTTCTTGCGCGGGCAGGTGGTGCCGCTGTCCTTCAAGCTGCCCGCCGCCACCACGCTGAAGCATGATCGTTTCCCCCTCTTCATGGAAGAGGTGCGCCTCATGCAGGATTCGTTGACCTCGGGCCGAGCATGGCTTGGCCGACGATGTTGAGACCGCTTGGAAGGCCGCGCGACCACCTTGATGGCGAGAGGTGGCCCCCCTTTTTTTCCGAGCGGTGCCAGAAGACCCTTGGCCCCCGTTATCCGTGCGATTCGGTGCGGCATAGGGGGTATTTGTTTCGCATGTCTGTGGGGATAGGAGTCTTCGGACCTCAGTGGTCCCCAGCTGGCAGGCCTTCGGGATTGCAGGGACTTACAGGCTGTCACTGGCTTTTGCTTCGAGCTCTGGCCAGGGATTGAAGGCTGGTACACACACACACACACGCACACACACACACACGCACCCACGCACACACACACACACACATTCACACACAAACACACGCACACACACACACACACACACACACACACACACACACACACACACACACACACACGCGCGCGCGCACACGCGCGCGCACGCCCTGTGACCACTGTCTCCTCTCCCTCTGTGGGAATGGGAAGGGGATCCTCGGGCTGAGGCTCGAACTGGAGGCTGGCCTGCTTCTGCGTTGGCAGCAGTGAGCTGCCACGACGGCCCCGTAGTGAGTGCAGCGCGCGCGCGCCCTGGCCAGAGTTCAGAGCACGCGGCAAGCTGCAGTATGTTTCAGCTTTGTCTCCCAGGGACAGTCTGGTGAGGTCGTCGTGAGTTCGAAGTCCTCGGCCCATTTCCATACGATGTGTGCCCCCCTGTTTTTTCTACAAAAACACCTTTTCTCCCTCCTCGTCTCGCCCTTTCCCTCTGCAGAACCGGCCCGCAGGCGGTCCCCGTACTGTTCATGACTTGCATATTGGTAAGTGTTTCGCCCCTCACCAATGTTTGTCGGGCCGGAAACAGGTCTTCATAATTCCAAAGAGCGGTTTCGAATTTCTTCCCCTCCCTCCTCCCCCTTCCCTTCCTTTCGCCCAGGCGGGTCATCGCCATCGTGAGCGATGACAACGGGCTAGAAATAGAAGTCAGGGTGCGCTTTGGCCGCCGCCCCTCTGTGCCCGAAGAGGGGGCAGAACAGGAGGAGGAGAAGGAGGAGGAGAACAGTAAAAGGGGGGGACCACATGGCGCACGCTACTGAACCTCCCTAAGGTCTACATCAGTTGTATATAGGCTTCGGTGGCATCGTGATGTGCGGGGGATGCAGGACCTTCGGCACCTCGCGTTCCCAGCATCTTCTCACGGAGTGCCCCGAGGAACCCAAAAACAAAGTTGTTAGCCAGCCTTTGGCACATGTGAAGAAGAGTGTGGACCCCTCCTCCAGACATCGGTTCGGGGGGAGTTGGCCAGCCCCGCCAAGACCGCCCCAACCAGGTCACGTGTTCCTTCCCTGGCGGGCTGCCTCGTTTGTCCACCTGTCCCCCGTCTTGCCCCTTTTCCAGCGCGTGGTGCGGGTCTCGGAAGCTGACCTGTTGCGCAAGAGGATCACAGGATCACAGGGGGAGGGAGAGGCGGAGGAGGGGGAGGAGGATCAGAGTAAGCCACATTGCATCACCGATATTGCAATACACCCTCCCGTCCTAAGTCTTTTCATCGTCCTTACAGCTTCTCCTTTCACTCGAAGCAGCGCCCCCTTGGAACATCAGCACCCCATCGACCTGCCATTCAACCGAGAACCCGTGCTGAACCGAGCCTGAGTTGTCTCTGTCTAGCGGGATGTACCGTGTGCAGGCCGACTCGTTTGATCATGCAAGCCAGCGGTTTGCCGATATTCGGGTCGCCCCATGTGCACCGTTGTTGCGCAAACATACATTCCTCAAGCCAGAACCCCATGGTGAAAAAAATGCCGTCAGCCCGTGCAGAGTTTGCATACGTTTATATGCTGGGTTTCTAAGTGGATACTGTCCCAAACCAGGGCTACATTTGGAAAACCATCCGCTCTCCACGATTGCAACTGGTGTAAACTTGTGAGTCGAATGTGCGCGGCGCTGAAAGGACATTTTGAAAAGGAGGCCCCATTAATCTCTGCATGCATTGCAGATTTGTGAAATGAACGTGCGCGTCGCAACGGCGAGAGCCCAAATCAAGAATCCATATTGCAATTGGCGCGTGGACGAAAGAACGCGTTCAATATACGGCCCCTATGTTGAACATGCTCCGACCTCGTCCGTGTTGCTGCTGCGAGCTTGTGCACAGACTACGCGCGGTGCCTAGGCAACGCAGGCATTTTGGAAAACAAGGCCCTCCCCTCACGCAGCTGCTGCAATATTGCAACACGAGTATGCAGGGCGCTAAGGCGGGGGTCATATGTTGACAACCGCCCGCCCTCCATCGGTGGCGGTGTGGCGAAGTTGTGACATGAGTGTGTGTGTGGCGCTCAGGCGAGGCTTCCGCCCTGAGAACCACCACGTTCATCCTTGTATGTGTTGCAAGCTTTTAGGGCGAGTGTGCACGGTGTTACTGCGAAGACAAACCCGCCCCACCGACACGTCTGGGTCTGACGATGATGAACAACTACTTGCAAGGAAGAGGGATAGAGGAGGAGGGGGATGAGGAGGAAGAGGAGGACCAGTCTAAACCCAAGACTCATCAGCAACAAATCGTCTCTCCAATTTCCCTTTCCATAGGTCCTGCAAGAAGTCATTTTATTTGCGGGCAGTGGCCCATCAGAGGACAACCGTTTGAGAATCCCCGATCGCACCAAAACACCACTCCTGGGACGTCGCCGCCGCGGATCAGCGGGACTGCTGCGTTTGGACAACGCGAAATCGTGCCAGGACAAATGTCTTGGGACTTCAACACCGCGAATCAACGTGACTGTCGCCTCTTGACAATCCTCAGTCGCACCAGGACAAAATTCTTGCGACTGCCACCGCACGTATCCTTCAACTTGCCGCACACTTTTCAGGCGAATGCGCGCGGCGCTAAGGTGAGAGCCATTTTGGGAGCCAGCAGCCTTCCATTTTCGAACCTAGTGACAAGTTGTAAGGCGAATCTGCGTGGCGCTGAGGCGAGAGCCACATTTTGAAAACGGCTCACCCTCCATCAGTTGAACTGTTGCAATTTGCAAGCTTCAGGATCATAAAGGGTGAGGAAGTCTCAGGCGAAAGACCCCGCCAGCCTTACTGACACGGCTGGTGGTTCGACAACGAGGAATTATTTCTGAGGAAAAAGGATGAAGGACGACGACGACGACGAAGGACGACCGAGGTGGCAACTGCTGCGCTCGGCGGCGGCTGCGGCAACGGCGGCGGCGCAGGAGGGCGAGGAGGGCGAGGAGGAGGAGTAGGCCTCCGTGACAACGACTGTGCCGCGGCGGTTGGGGTCATCGGTTCATACCGGCAGCCACTTGTATCAATAGAAACCATCGTTCAGCACAGGACGTTGCTTCAATGACCATGCATTGATCTCGGAACAGAGCCTATCGCGCTGACCGATGCGTCAATGGAAGTTACTGCTTTCCGTACTCCGTTGAGACAAACGGTTGACATGCAGGTGTGTTGAGACCGTCATGAACAAAACAGAACAGCACAGGAGGATGGGGAGGTTTGACGCCACGGGAGCGCCAGAACGCATGCAGAGGCGGAGCAGGACGACGACGATGCCTTTGCAGTCTTTGACCTTGGGGGCGCTTGGCTTGGGGGCCCCTCGACCTCTTCGACATCGGCGCCCTCGTCGCCACGGCTGAATCCGACTTGAAATTCTAGTCAGAACGCACTCGCTGGATCAGTCAAGTCACTGAAATAAGGACCAGTTTCGACTCAGGCAGGAGGGGTCGTGGGACATATTGTGAAGGCCTGACGGCCAGTGCCGACGACCCTGAAAGACACCGACGACGACCAGGAGGGAGAGGAGGAGGAGAAGGAGGAGGAGGAGGAGGCGGAGTTGAGGAGGAGGAGGAGGAGGAAAAGGACTCCCCCCTGGGCCCCCCTCCTTGCCTGGGGAGGAGGACCGGAGGAGGACCGGCGTGGGAGAGGGGAGGGGAGGGGGACGAGGACCCCCAGTGACGGATGCGTATCGAACTCCTCTCCCCCCCTGGGGCTTCTCTCCACCTGGGGAGGAGCACACGAGGAGGACCGGCGCGCCGGAGAAGGACCGGCGTGGGAGAGGGGGACCTCGATGCGAATTTGACCCCCCTCCCGGGACCCCCCCCGCCGGGGAAGGGACAAAGGGAAGGGGATTCCTTTTGACGTAATGAGGACGTGGATGGAATTCCGTCAGGCTGCGAACCCGCTCCCAGAACGAGGAAGGGTTCTCTCTCTCGCTCTCCACTGATGGGAGAGGAGGATGGGAAGGAGGGGACGAAAGAAGGCTCCCCGCCGACGGGACCGGACAGACACCCCACACACGCCGACATCGTCGGCGGATTTGTGGCCAGGGCTCGCTGGGGCCACGCGTTCCTTATTCAGCGTTCCTTGTGGCAGCGCAACAGCCGACTTCTGCTGGAGGGGGGACGACGGCGACGACGTCGCCGTCGTCGTGATTTTGGTGTTTCTTGGGCGTTCGTGGGGGCTTTCGTCACCGCCGCTGGGCGCGGCTCGGATGACAGTCGTGGAATCCTGGGACATCGGCTCCCCAGGTGGTGCCTACCTCGCAGCTGCTGCGACCACCCCGCGCGCGCCCCGCGTGGCCTCGTCGGATATGGCAACCCGCGGCCACGCGCGCGCACGGCGCCCAGCGCATTGGGGGCGCCCGCCGCGATCGTTTGGCTCCCCAGCGGCATGTCGTGCCCTTGCACGGGCAGGTTTGACGCGACAGCCAGACCAGGCCCCTGGCGCGCGCGCAGCTTCGCGGGCGCTTCTGGGAGCTCACGGACCTCTCTGGCCTCGAGTCGAGTGCCCCGAGTCGGGCCCTTCCCGCGCCCGCCACGCGCCCACGGTGGGCATGAAATGAACAGTTCCGGGCCTCGCGTCCTTCCCGGTCGGAGCAGGCGCGACCCTCCGACTGTGGGGCCCGCCCTCGAGCCCGCGGGCCGCCGAGCTCCTCCCCCCCCCCTTGCGTGGGCAGGGGAACGACGGCTTCGGCCCCAACGGCGAGCCAGGCGCGCCGCCGCCGTCGGCGCGTCGGCCGCTGTCGTCGTCGCCGTCGTGGTGGTGATCGCCGTCGCCGTCGTGGTCGTCGTCGAGGTGGTGGTGGTGGTCGTCGTCGTCGTGATGGTGATCGTCGTCGTCGCTTTGGTCGTCGGGGCGGTTGTCGTGACAGTGGGGGTGGAACTCGTCGTCGTCGTCGACCTTTCCGTCTGGCCCCTTCTTGTTTATCTTCGAGCTTCCAGGATCGAGCCCTTTCTTCCTTGGTCGAGGATCGAGGCACGTGGACATATTTTGTGTGCGTCGGAGACCTCCTGGGGCCTCCAGCGCACAATGGGCGCCGGGAGCGCCCGCGAACCGCCCCGGATAGCTAGCGACGACGACGACGACCAACCACGACGACGACCACGACGAGAACGACAACCACAATAACCACGACGACCACGACGACCACGACGATGACCACGACGACGTGCGTGGTGCTGACCACGACGGGTACCATGCCGACGACCACGACCACGACGACGACGATCAAGGCGACGACCACGACCACGGCGACTACGACGATCACGACCACGACGATGACAACCATCACGACGACTACGACAACGACTACGACAACGACCACGATGACGACAACCACAATTACGCCGAGCACGACGACGAGAAAGGTGGACGACGACGGCGACGACGGAGACCACCAAGACGAAGTCTACGACGTCCACGACGACGAACACGACGTGACCACGACGACAACCACGACGACCACCACCACGAAGATGACCACGACGACGGCGATGACAACGACGACCACGACGGCGATCACGACGACGACCACGACGGAGATTTCTACGACGACGCCCATAACGATAACGACCACGACGACGGCCACGACGTCAATCACGACGACCACGACGGCGGCTACTGCGGGGACGACGAGGGCGACGGCGATGAGGCTGCGACAAGAAGGACGCCAACGGTGGGAACGTCACGAAGTGGACTGCCAAGGCTTTTGTGAAGGACAAGCGACCCGGAGGGTCGGTCGGGAGGAGCAGAACGAGGGAAGTAACGAGGAGGAAGATAATGATAGGTTGGAGGAGGAGGAGGAGGAGGAGGAGGAGAAGGAGGTGGAGGAGGAGGACGAGGAGGAGGAGGCTCCATAGCCATTTTTGGCTCAAGTAATCCATTTCCTCAAGGTGGTTCAGTCAACCCGCTGCGCCCTCGGGCTGTTTTCAGGTAGGCGGCATAGCCTCGGGAGCAGACACCTCCATATCCCACTCGCAGCGAGGCTGGCACTTCCACATATTGTTTCTCGAGGTGTCCGTCTAGCACGGCACCAGCAGATTACGGCAACCATTCCTCGGTCCCTCTCGTTATGGGGCCGCCCTGGCGGCAAGGGACGCCCTGGTGGGTCGCAGAGCTACGCAGCGGGCAAGTCCGAGGGCACGGGGGCGCTCCTCCTCGGCGGTCAGCATCACGCGGTGGAGGCAAGGTGCGGACGCTGGCCCCAAGTGGGTGTGCGCTTTCTGCGGCTGCAAAAAGAACTCGGCCTCTTACGAGTTCTGCAAGCTTTGCCAGGAGTGGAAAGTCGAAGCCCCAACGGATCCTGCTGCACACGCCCTCCTGGCTCCACCTGGTCCTGGTGGTCGTGGCGGTCGTCGGCAATCTCGTGGGGCAGGACGTTAACGCATGGATCTCCAGCCTGAAGCAGCACCAGCGGGGCACCTGCAAGGTCCTGGAGGCGCGGGGCCCACAGAGGAGGGGCTCGAGAATGGGATCGCGTTGGCCAGCAACCTCGGGGACAAGGACTCTGCCCGCAAGTACGAGGCACAGCTTGCGGACCTCCGCAAGGGCCCCAGCCTTACCATCCAGGAGCGAGCCCAGGTCTGCCGCGCCCGCATCAAGCAGTTGGAGGAAGCTCTTGGTGTGGAGGTCGGTAAGCTGGACACGTACCAGAGCTGGGTCCGCACGCAGACGGAGTGCGTCAAGAAGCTCGAGCTGGCCCTGGCAGAGGCAGACGGAGAGTACACCCTCATCGTCTCCGAGCTTGCAGATGAGGTCGGCAGAGACACGGAAGGTGACACAAACTATCAGGGCCCAAGGTTCCTCTCGCCGACGTCGTCGCGGGGAAGTAGGATATCACCAGTCTCATTGACATCGACGGTTTCTTCAGGACTGGCGAAGAGTTCGAGTTCACCCCTGAGGATGTCAAGGCGCTGGAGGAGAGGAAGGACCAGTTGCCACCACAGATGCAGACAGCTACCAAAGACACGTTCCGAGACGCCATGGTCAAAGTTGAGAAGGTCAAAGCGGAGCGTGCGGCACATGTACAACGACTCGCTCGGAAGCGTGGACGGACCGAGCCTCCTGCAGAGGCGACAGGGGCCGAAGGCGCGAGCAGCGCCGACGCTAAGGCTGGGAAGAGCACCCGGGCTGCAGCAGCAGCCAAAGGAGGCTCGCCAGCAGCCAGCAGCGAGAAGACCAAGGGCGGCACCAGCAGCGAGGACATCCGCGCAAGGGCAGCCCGTGCTCTTGGAGGCGAAGCTCAGGGCCAGTCGCAGCCTCGATGCCCCCCTGTGGAAGCAGGGAAGCAGTGCGGCGGAGGTCCCCTCGCGACCGATCGCAGCCACCACAGGGGGGGGGGGGGGGCGGCAAAGCAAGATCATAGACGTCGGCGAGGGTGATCACCCGCTTCTCTGCATACGGCTGGGATGCGACGCCCACGCCTCCGCAGGCAAGTACCGAGTGGCATCGAGCTCCGAGAGCCACGACGGCACCAAGCCCGGCCCGCAGTGGACCGGGACCATGTCATCGACGACAGGCGCCGCGCTCTCCGCCCCAGAGGTAGTGGAGACCCCGCTTCAGACGCATCCCTCAGGAGACCCGAGCCTTTGGCTCGGGGCCCACCGAGTGCCACCCTGGGGCGGGGAATCGCTGGAGGGGCGGTGCAGCGTACCACGCGACGACCTTGGGCGCTACGGGGCGACCTCAGCGGTTACGGCAACACCAAGAACTGAGTCTGGGTTGGGGCAGGGCCCAGCCCAGACGGCTCACGCACTTGCCCGCCCCGTCCGCAGCGCCGGCGCCGCAGCGGTCGGGCCTCTGTTTCTTTTTTCGCAGGCTCCAGTGGTCGCGGCCCCGCCTGCCTCCCCGATCGCACAGCCCGATCTGACCCCTGGGCCAGCGGCCAAGGAGGGCAAACGCAAAGCGATCCAGATTGAGACATGCAATTGCACTTCGCTCGCATCCTTCAAGCGATAGCTGGGGGAAGAGACTAGTGCCACGATCGTCTGCCTCCAAGAGCTGGGCATGAAGGAGATCGAGAGGTCCGAGGTCGAGGCCGCGATGCGCAAGCAGGGCTGGACGTCCACCCTCAGCCCCTCGGCGGTCGCCGACTTAGGAGTACTGTCCTGCGGGGTTGGTATTGCGGCCAGGAATGATATTGGGGTTGCCCCCCCCCCCCCCCCCCCCCCCCCCCCTCTTCCCGACCCCTCCCAGCCCCCCGCAGGTGCCAGCTGTCGCGGGTCAACGCTTTCGCCCGGGGGGGCTTCATATTCGGGAGCGTTTACCTTCCCCAGGGCGACCCCCTGGGAGAGATTGGGGGGCACCTCCTCTCCAGGTTGGGGGGGGGGGGGGGGGGGGCGTTGCGCGGCTGGGGGCCCCCCCTTCATCCTCGGGGGCGATTGGAATTGCGAACCCCAAGCACTCAGAGAAGCTGGATGGGCGTAGCGCCCTGGGGGGCAGATCGCGGCGCCCTCTGCCTCCACGCGTCGCTCGACGGCGCAGAGATGGAAGACGATTGACTTCTTTGTTTGCACGGCTGCTTTGGCGCCGTCTTTCACCGAGGTTGGCCGCAATGAGAATGCGACCACCAGCCCTCGCTGGCCAGTCAGCGCGACCCTCAGCGGGAACCGGCGGGTCGATAAGGTTTGGATCTTGCCGCGGCCAAGGGCCTTTCCCCTCTCGGCCCCTGTGGGGCCTCCTCCAGCCCCATCCGACTATTCTGAGCTGCGTGGGCGAGCTGGGAAGGGGGGCGCTCGGCAGGGCCTTGACAGGTGATTTTGAGAGTTCCTCACCAATCTGCCCGCTGGAGGGAGTGGGTCAAGGAAGCGGTGGAGAACGGCGGAGGTAAAGCTCGCAAGTATTCGAAGGCACCCATCGGGTGGACTCCTGCGGCCGCGATACCTGGGAAGGCCCCCCCCCCCCAGGGCCAGATGCAAGAAGTTTGGGACGAAGTCTGGAGCCCCCCCGCCGACGCCAGCAGTCTGCCTGACCCGTTTGCCTTCCTCGACCACCAGATTGCTGGACTTGGTCGGGATGGCCGCGCTGCAGGGCAGCGGCCGCGCGAGCTGAGCGCGGGCGACGTCAGATCTGCCGCGCGGAAGTTTAAGCAGCGCACCGCCCTCGGGTCCGACGGGATCCACCCGAGGGATCTCAGCAGATTGTCTGACGGGGCCCTCGAGGCCTTTTGCGGCCTTTGGGCGTGGTGCGAATCCATCGGACACGCCCCGACCCAGCTCGCTCTGGTCTTTACCGCCCTCCTCCCCAAGGCTGACGGGGAGTTCAGGCCCATCGGGCTGCTGCCTGGGATATGACCCTTCATTGGCCGAGTATCCGAGTCTTTAACGTGGTGGACGACATCGCCTTGTTCGGCATGGGGGCACTGGCCGACCTGGGCTGTCGGGTCGGCAGGGCGGCGCGCTTCCTTCTTTGGAACTCCAGGAAATGTTGCTGGTGATTTCCAAGGACAAGCTGGTGGTGATGTCGACGCATGTGGAGGTCGGGCAACAAATCTCGGCCTGTATCCAGGACTGGGGCTTCAAACAAAAGCGCGCCACGAAAAAACCTGGGCGTTGATTTCTCGGAAAGACGGCGCAGGCGGAGCACTGCGGTCCAGAGAGGCCGAGTGACTGCCTTGAGGCCGAAGATCAGGAGGTTTCGCGGGCTGCGCTCAGCCTTCCGTGGAGTCACCAAGGTTGCCAAGGCAGGCGGCCTTCCTGCGGTGACCTACGGCTGGTCTATTGTTGGGATCGCCGGTACCCCCCTCCAAGAGATTCGCTCGGTCCTTGGCCAGGCCATTTTCGGGACCCCGAGAGGACGATCCAGGACCATCGAGTTCCAACTTTGCGGAGATAAACGCGCCGATCCGACCTTCGTTGCCAACTCCGCCCCCCTTCTCAGCTGGTGTTTAACCCTGCGTAAGGGATGGGCTCCAGAGCAGCAGATGAAGAAAAGTTTTGACGCCTTCCTCAACACCCCAGGATTTGACTGGGGGCAGGTCACTGGACCTGCTGGAGCTGTGCTGTGCACGCTGCGCAGACTCGGCCGGCGTGCTTTAGTTTACAGGTCCTGGGTTACAAGGAGAGGGGTTTCCGTGGATCCTGGCACCCTGGGCAAGAGGACGATGAAATCTCTGATCGAACAGGATGCCCAGAGAGGACTCATCTGTAGCATCGGCCAAAAGTTCCTGGGCTTGCTGCTGGACCTCCCCTGGGGCCTGTCGTTGATAAGTTGAAATCGTTGCGTGGGCAAGGGCAAGCAAAGGAAGCCGCCCTTGTCCCAGGAGTCGTGGCTGGAGGCCACGCGACGCAAGAAACCCTGTTCGCGGGGGGGCGAGCGGTGTCTCCCATCTGCCGATGGTGCGGAGCGCTCTCCGGCACCCCCAAGCACCGTTTTTTTGTAGCTGTGGCGGGAACGCTGGGCTCCGCTCCAGCCTCGACCTCGAAGGGTATCTCGCCAAAGGAAGGGAGGCTGGTGACGAAGACCCTGGATTCACCAGGGGCCTGTTTGCTAGCCCCGAATTCCTCTGGCCCCATCCCTTGGTCGATGCTGGTTTCAAGTGGAGCGTTCCCCCCCCCCTTCACGGTGTCCTCGACGCTGGCAAGATCTGTTTGGATGGTTCGGCTTTGGACCCAGACAGTGAAGCGATCGCGAGGGTTGGCTGGGGAGCGGTCGCGGTTGACATAGGTGGGAGTATAGTTGGGTCCCTTTTCGGTCACTTCCCCCACCCCCATCAGTCCTCAGGGGGGGAGGTCTACGCCTTCTTCACGGCCCTGCGGCAGGTGGAAACATGCTCCACAGAGTTCTGCACGGATTGCCAGATGGTCTGTGACGTCTGGGAGAAAGGCCCAGGCCAGGACCTCACGAATGTCAGCTACAGCGAGCTGTGGTGTGACATCTTCGCTAGGGCTGCGGATGTAGGGATGCACAACATCACCCTCTCGAAAGTCAAGAGCCATCTGTCTCGTAGGGCCGCCCTGGACCGTGGATTTCAGTTCTGGGTGCGGGCTGGGAATCGAGAGGCTGATCGCCTGGCTAAGTTAGGGGCCGCCGTGCATCCCCACGACCCCTGAGCTAAGCAATCGTACGTGCACCAGGCCGAGCTTGTCACCAACAGCACTTGCGTGACCCACGGGACCATGAAAGCCCCAGCCCGTCTCAACTTCCCAGATGTCGAGAAGGTCCGGGCAAAGGTTAGACAGCGTCCAGGAGGTCTCGAGCTGGTGCCCGATGCGCGTGGTCACCAACTGACCCGCTATAAGCTACCAGGGGGCAGGTTCAAGTACTAGTGTGTCAGATGCGGGGGGGTAGGATCTCGCACAGGCGTTTGTAAGGTTCCCTGCTCTTGGCTGCCTAAGGTAGCTCGCCTCGCCTACCCCTCCCACCAGCTCTTCATTGGAGGGGGCCGTGTGGCGTTGTGTTCGAGGTGTGGGGCCTTTGGGAACCGTAGGTCTCAGTATCTCTTTGACAGGTGCATTAGTCACCCTCGGAATAAGGACGCAGCTCGGAGCTTGAAGATGCTCCGAGAAGGTGTCGACCCGTCTACCAGAGGGTTTTTTCTGACGTCGTTTCGATTTCAAGCGGTTGGGGTCGAGTCTTGTTGGCTGAATGTGCGCTGGGAGGCCAGCGCACCGCCCAAGACCAGCCGCCCCCCTTGTGTTGTGGTTGGGTGTTCGCGTCTCGGCGTCGACGATCCCGTCATCTATGGAGAAACTGGAGAAACAGGAGGACGAGGAGGAGGAGGAGGAGGAGGAGGAGGAGGAGGAGGAGGAGGAGTGAGTGGGGGAGGGGGCGACCAGCGGGAAAGTGCATACCCCGAATGTGTGTTGGCGTCGCGACAAAAGAGCGTATGAGCGGTTCCCCCCGGGTTCGGGGCCCTTGGACCGCCTCCAGACCCCAGGACCAGCAAGCACGGCCCGCGACAACATTTGGTTTCGGGAAAGGTGTCAGTAGTGCGGGGACCTTTCATTCGAGATATCCAGATTTCGGAGGTCGGGGCTTGTCAGTATAGTATTGGTATTGTCCTGTCCTATCGTCTCCGTCCCTCCCTCATTCCCTCTCCCTCCCTCCCTCGTTCCCCCCCCCTCCTAGCTTCGACTTCCCCCTCGCCGCCTCATATTCCTTCCCGCCCTCCCTTGGCCGTTCTTCATCCTCCCTTCAATCGCTCCTCCTGGAGGAGGGGATGTGAAGGTGGAGGGGGAGAAGGAATCGACGGACAGCCAGGGTCCCCAACGAGCGAGTGAGCCGTTACTTCAATGAGACAGACGAGCCGCCCACGAAGGGCGCCCCCTGGGGCTGGTGCACATCAGAGGCCATCACAAATGTCCTCTGAGAACAAAACACTCGAGCGTCGCGGGTGGCTTCCCCTCTGGCGTCGTACTCCCTGCCTTCACCCCTGGGTGGCGCCTTCGGGGTACGGCAGGTTCGCGCCGCGTCGACGCCGCCGCGACCCCAGCGCAGGCGTCCAAGGCTGAGGGCCACCGCTGGCCTGCATCTCCGCGCAATCGGGAGGCTACGAACGCTTCAGATTGGACGTTCCACGCTGTAACATACGCCAAGGCCGACGTCGTCGCGAAACGAGCCTGCCGTACAGAGAAGGGAGTAACCGTCCGAAGTCTGCGTCCGTGTGCTGTGCAAACCTCTTGGGAGAGGCGCACCAGTCGATCATGGGCCCAGGACTGGCCCACCAAGGATCGGTGCACTTGCTGATCCTCGACCGCGGACGCAGTCCGAGGCGGTCGGCTAGCATCGGGCGCACACCAGCGAATTCGGCCCGTCTCAGGGCCGTCTTCGATCCGATTCGATGCGATTCGATGCGATTCGATTCGCTGGCTAGGACCGCGATTTCGATTCGATCCGATTTGGTTCGATCCATCAGCGTCGGGCGGGGCCAGCCGGAGCCAGGCACGGCCATCCGGCTTCGCGATTCGATCCAGCTGGGGCCTGCCCGTGCAATAGAGGAAGGAGTCGGCAGTTCAAAGATGGAGCGTTGGGGGGGCCTTGAGGATAGGACCAGGGGCAGCCGCAGAGCAGGGAGGATGAGGAAGAGAGCCGGGCGCGCGCAGATCGTGGGCCCGGCCAGGGTTGGTGCGCAGTGAGCACGAGCACGTCGGAGTAGAACAGAGAGTGCGTTTGGCTCGCGAGTGGCTTTTGTATCGGGGGCAACGGTAGGGGTGGAGGGGCTCAGGGGAGATGCATCGAGCCCCAATCGCCCAGTCATCGCCAGTAAGGGTCTGGTGGTCCACGCCGCTCAGGAACGTGCGGTTTCGCTGTCGGGGGCAAGTCGCCGATCTGTCGGCGATGTATCGCCGATTGAAGCTCGATATTTCCCCCCCTAAGCTGGCTACCCCCGTAACGTTCCCCCTAAAATGCGTTTGGCGCGCGAGCGGCTCTGTGTTGTACTTCGGAGGCGGAGAATAGAGCAGAAATTGTCGGAGGTCCGCGCGGATTTCCCGCGTCGACATTGGGCCCCCCCGCGGAGTTCCGAAAGTTTATCTTCATGCAAGTGTGGTTCGTGTAATTTCGGTTTCCCTCGCGCGGCCAGGTGAGAAAAACTCAGCCTAGCTAGTGGCCGAAGATGTGAGCTCCTTACTCCATGCCCCCTGTGCAGACAGAAGTGTGGGCTACAAGCTTGCTGTCGGCGTCATTCTCCTGTCATCCAGTCCCCCGTGCTGCTGTTCTCGAAGGAAAGCTGCATGAACATAACCTTTCGGAGCTCCGCGCTGATTTCTTGAATCGGCACTGAGCCCCACTCCCTGGCGGGCGGAGCGCGCCAGGGGCCGCGCTCACGGCGCTGAAAGTTTATGTCCTTGACGTTATTCTTCTTCAAATCCAGTCCTTCGCGTTGTGTTCTATTCTCTCCCCCTTCCTCCCTCTTCGCTTCCTCCTTTCTCCTTTTTCGCTCCTATCTCGCGCCGCTCCTCCGCCCTCTGTTTTCTCATCTTTCCTCTACCCTCCTTCCTCCTTCCTCCTCCTGGCTTCTCCTCCGCTCATCTTCCTCCTTCCTCCTGTCTCGCGCCGCTCCTCCCCCCGCCCTTCTCTCTCCTGATCGCCATTTCTCTTTTGCCGCGGCCAGGTACTCTGACGAGATTACTGCAGACTTCACCCCTAGACGTGCGGACCTTAAACAGTGTAAGGATGCTGACGTGTTTCGAACGCGAGCCGTAACACATATGTATGGATGCGTTGCGGGCAGGGATGGGCAGAAGGAGCAGCATGTCTGAAGTGGAGGCGATGGCGCTGCTGCAGCTCTCGGCAGTTTTGCACACTGTTGCGGTTGCCAGTGTACATTTGTTGTTCCAGTTGTCCTTGCAGTGTAGCACGCGTGCGCGCATTGCGTGATGTCCGCGGGCAGTCCACACGCCACGCGGTCGAGCAGCCCTTATTCACAGGATCAGGGACGACGACAGTCCCCGGACCGCTCCGCTCCAGGGGTCCATCTTGGCCTGTGTCACATCCCAGTGATTCTGGTCCTGGGGCCCGAGATGGGGCTCCAGAGGCAGAAAAGACGTCCCCGATCCTTCCTTCATTCGAATCTCGAAAAAGTTCAGGCAGTTCAGGGAGAGGAGGAGCAGGAGGAGGAGGAGGAGGAGGAGGAGGCGGCGGATGAGATGAGAAGAACCTGGCTGTACCTCTGGTGCCGCCCCCAGCGCGCTCTCCGCGTCAGGGTCCGTCCAGCGCCAGGTATGTTGTTTCGTGGTCTTCTATGCTCGTCTCGCTGGGGAGCCCGACCTGGACCCATCGGCTTGCGCGAGCTCGAAAACGAGGAGGAGGAGGAGGCGAATGATGAGGATGAGTGGGGAAAGGGAGCCCCCTCCTCCCTCCCTCCCCTCCCTCGACCCTCCCTTTCTCCCACCCCTCCCTCGTCTCTCCGATCCCCCCCCCCCGCCCCCTCCCTCAGCCCTCCCTCTCCGCCTCCGTGGCCGAATCTCTGAAGACCTTGGGCGATCGCGCGCCGCGGCGCGCGCTCCGAGGCGGCCTCAGCAGCAACTCGGGCGAGGCCCTCGGCGCCCCCCCCGTCGGAGGCGGAGCTGCAGGGGTCTGCGCGGCGGCTGGAGCGGAGGAGGGCCTCCCAGCCCTGATCCCACAGGCTTCTGTGGGCGCCGGGGAACTCAAAGGGAGCGCCCTCCCTCCCTCCCTGCCTCCCTCCCTGCCTCCCCCTCCGCGCGCGGCAGCGGGCGTGCGGGAGAGGAGGAACGGAGGAGGAGGAGGAGGAGGAGGAGGAGGAGGAGGAGGGAGGAGGAGGACCAGTGCAAACCTAAGACGCATCAGCGATGTTGCAATGAACCCTCCCTCCAAGCTCCCTCTTAAGAGGTCACTACACTAACTTGTTTTCATTGCGAGAAGTGCCCCGCTGACAGACAACCGTTTGAGAATCGACAATCGTGTCAAAAGACCATTCCTGGGACTCGAACACCGCGAATCGACATGACTGTTCCGTCCTGGCAGTCTTAAGCCGCGCCAGAGCACCGTTCCTGGGACTTGAGCACCGCGAATCGACGTGACTGTTGCGTCCTGACAGCCCTAGATCGTGCTAGAGCACCAGTACACTGGGAATCAACCCTACCATTTCTGGGACTTCAACCCTACGAATCTCTGGAACTGCTGCAAACGTTGAAGACGAATGCGCGCAACACGAGGGCGAGATCCACATTTTGAAAACGGCCCGCTCTCCATCATTGAAACTGCTGCAACGTTTTAAGGTGAATGTACGTGTCACCAAGGCGCGAGTAATTTACAAAACACGGGATAGAGGATGCGAAGGAGGAGGATGGTTTTGATCATCCCAGAAGCCTCGAGGCTGCGGGCGCCGGTACCATCCCGTATCGACCCTCCTGCTGCTCCTCTCTCCTCTTCATCTCACCCCTCGTCCCCCTCTTCCTCGAACCTCGGAGCTGCGGGCATTGGTACCATGCATCCACTCTCTCTCTCTATCTCTCTCTCTCTCTCTTTCTCTCTCTCTCTCTCAATCCTCCTGCTCCCCACCCATCCTCCCTCCTTGTCCTTCTCCTCCTTACACCTCCTCCCTTCTCCCTCCCCCTCCTCCCTCCTCCTCCGAATCCTCCGCGCACGTAATGTTGTTCGTTCTACGTAGTCGTTTGTTGTGGTGTGTGCGTTTTTGATGTTGGTTTCCTGTTCTCTGTCTGAGAATGGCCGTCGTTCTCCGGGGGGCGACTCGAGGGCGCGCAGACGGTCGCGCATCGCACAGCGCGACGCCAGCTGACCGCCTCACCGATCCTGGCCGGGCCCATCCAGGGCACATGATCGGTGCGTGCGCTCTCCCACACCGCGATCCCGGGCCCATGATTTGCCTAGCCAGGATCTGTGAGGCGGACAGGTCCACCGATGGGTCTGACCGAGCTTTTCTGACAGTTTTTCGAGCACGCTGGATGCCAATGAACAGCTTGCCCCCCCCTACCCCTGCACCTTTCTTGAGCCTCGCTGGGACAGCAGTGCCTTATTCCCAACCATCCTGTGGCGTGAGAGCCTCGTTTTGACGAGACAGCGCCCGCGTCCTCCTTTCTACCTTCTCCTCCCGCTGCCTCCAGCCCTCCTTACCTCTGCCCCTTGCATGTCTCTGTTTCGGCACACCCCTCACACGGTTCGCGGCCCCATAGGGAGCTCCACCGAAGGCTCCAGCGGCAAAGTTCGCATGCAGTTCCACCCCCGTTTTGGCGCACCCCCCACATGGTGCGTGGCCCCATAGGGAGCTCCACCGAGGGCCTCAGCGGCAAAGTTCGCATGCAGTTCTACCTTCGTTTCGGCGCACCCCTCACACAGTTCGCGGCCCCATAGGGAGCTCCACCGAAGACCCCAGTGGCAAAGTTCGCGTGCAGTTCCACCCCCATTTCGGCGCACCCCTCACACGGTTCGTGGCCCCATAGGTAGCTCTGCTGCAGGTCTCAATGGCAAAGTTCGCATGCAGTTCCACCCCATTCCAGCGCACCCCTCACACAGTTCGTGGCCCCATATGGAGCTCCACCGAAGGCCCCAATGGCAAGGTTCGCATGCAGTTCCACCCAATTTCGGCGCACCCCTCACACGGTTCGTGGCCCCATATGGAGCTCCACCGAGGGCCCCAGTGGCAAAGTTCGCATGCAGTTCCACCCCAATTTCGGCGCACCCCTCACACGGTTCGTGGCCCCAATATGGAGCTCCACCGAGCGCCCCAGTGGCAAAGTTCGCGTGCAGTTCCACCCCCATGGCAGCGCACACCTCACACGGTCCATGGCCCCATAGGTAGCTCTGCTGCAGGTCTCAATGGCAAGGTTCGCATGCAGTTCCACACCCATTCCGGAACACTTTTCACACAGTTCGTGGCCCCATAGGGAGCTCCACCGAGGGCCTCAGCGGCAAAGTTCGCATGCAGTTCCACCCCCACTTCGGCGCACCCCTCACACGGTGCGTGTCCCCATAGGGAGCTCCACTGAAGGCCCCAGTGGCAAAGTTCGCATGCAGTTCCACCCCCACTTCGGCGCACCCCTCACACGGTGCGTGGCCCCATAGGGAGCTCCACCGAAGGCCCCAGTGGCAAAGTTCGCATGCAGTTCCACCCCATTTCGGCGCGCCCTCACACAGTTCGTGGCCCCATAGGTAGCTCTGCTGCAGGTCTCAATGGCAAAGTTCGCATGCAGTTCCACTCCCATTCCGGCGCACCCCTCACACAGTTCGTGGCCCCATATGGAGCTCCACCGAAGGCCCCAATGG